CGCATGCTATTCCCGGTCACGGCTGTCGAAAAGCACTTGTGTGTATCGTTTGCGTAAGCCTGTTTAACATAGTTTGATTTAATGATTCCTTTAAATATTGCCCTTTATAAAGTTCCGGTGTTATTTAAAACCGATAATTTATTTGAACGTATGATTTTTATCTTTAAAATCGATCGCGTAAACAATCGTAAAGTCATTCAAAATAGAACGCCTTAATATTTGTCTCATCTTTTAGCTTTAACAGCATGTCCATAGACGGGATGTACTTATTTTTGGATAAGCGATTATTCTAATTTAATACGTAAACATTCCCAGAGGGTGCAACAAAAAATTTATAAACATATTATGACTATTAGGTAGACGCTGTCAGCAGCTTGTGTTTGGTCTTATACAAAAGCGAGGAAGCGAACGCATGTGTAGTTAATATAGTGTTAGTTTAATTATAATAATTAGTTCCGTAACGCTTGGCTCGGCCGCTTCGTTATTTTTTGTAAGAAAATCTATCACAATTTCTTAATTACGTCTAAATAATGGACAGTTAATCTTTTTTCTTTGGTTACTTTGAAGTGTGTTTTGGTAAAATACTTTCCATTTTTAATAAAAGATATAAGTTGCCAGTATCATGTTAACAATGCTTTGTTCTTTCGCGCCAAAATTCAAATGTCGATAAATTTTTTTTCTAAACCACCATTTTTTTTAATTTCCATAGCCAGGAAGCTAGTCCATTGAACAAACCGCAACTTTTTTTTATTTATTTTGCCAATAAACTATATCTGTAAACAATATTTATGGCATATATTGATGTATATCTAAGATCTGGAGATTCTTTTGTGGTTGCCATTCGATCTGTGACATGGGTGGTGAGTGATGAATATTGCTAAGCAAATATAACACAAAGCACAACTATCGGCAATATCAGTTACACTGGGGTAGGGTTTGATAGCGTCACCAATAATGCGTTTTGCTTTTTTGCCAACAAACTTTATTGTACTATATTTTGTACTGAATGTAGTCTTATTCTACTAGCCAAATCGTTGATTTTATCAACTTGTATACGCATTGGTACATATAAAATAAAAACACTTCAAACGATTTAAAACATGAAGTGTATTAGTTTGTTTTATCTTTATTGTGTGTTATGTTATGCACCCATGCACGGCTGATGTGTAGTCGTCGTAATGTTGTCGTTAAAAAACAATTTACTGATGTAATCCGCGTTTTAAACCGTTAATATTTTTTATTGAATCTATACTCATATTATAAAGCAGGAGTGTTTGCTTGTTTGCACGCGCTATTCTCAAGGTGTCTATCTTTTAGGATAAGCTAGCAAGAACGACGGGACGCAACCGACGTCGTGGGGGACAGCTTAAATCTATAAAGATGAAGAGGTCTACAAAAACAACTGTTTTAATTTGATGCCAAAATAACTTTTTTACGAGGACGAAGTCGCTGACTCAGCTAGTTCAATATATTTATATAGTTTAAAGTCATTTTATCAATTTGCCGTATTGGCAGTGAAGTAAAAGCCTTCTCAGCGTTAAATATTTCGATAGTGGCGCATTGGCATATAAATCGTTCGGAAATCGTTCCGTAATAAATCGAAGGCTTTTTAATGGCAGTTATCTGAGTGAGCTTTGGTGTTCCGATTGTGGCTAAGTGGTGACTGTGGAGCGGCACGCGTACTCTTATCTGTGTCCCTCGACACTTTCAATCTTCGATTTCGCCTGGTCTTGTTTCATTTTTGCTCCCGATATTGTTGAATCTTTTATAGACCGCTTAAGTTACTATACTTGTCGGTCTATACACGTACATTAAGTAAATACATCTAGATGATAGTCCTAACATTTTTTTTGCTATCCACGTCCGTAAGAAAACATTAAAAATATATTTTAGATTAAAAAAATTAAGACCGTTCAGTCATCGATTTTTTCAATCTACCGATACATGCAACTCTCGCACTATGTAATTTTAACTTTAACGATGACGTATTTAGATTAAATGTCTGATGCTTTGCAGTTGTGCGATTACGTTAAATCCCGCCCGTGTCGTTATTTTTTCTATCTGAATCTATTTTTAAATATTGTAAAATACTATATAAATGTCTCTTTTTATATATAATATGCCATTATGTGCAATAACATGTAAAAAATAAAGTTTTCAAATCCCTAATTACATTTTAATACTCGTAGAACGGGACTTACTACTAAAGAACAAATAATTTGTAAATAAATAAAAAAATCTGTAGTTAAAATTAATTAATGAAAAAATGTAAGCTCGGGATAGATCGCGATGGCGGAAGCCTCCTCTAGTAGCTTCCGCCATCAAGGGGCCATTGGCAAGAACATCCATTGATGACGATGATGAAAATCGATCAGCGAACCTCAAACTAAAACCATTTATTTCAATATAAAAGAGAAAGAAAAAAAAGATAATTATTTTTCGGGCAAAAACCTTTTCTCACTCATGTCGGCCGAAAATCAATGATATAAAAGATCTCCGCAAAAGCCTTACACAATTTACTTATGAAGAGTGCTCGTGAAATGGGAGATAGCACTCGGCATGGGCTGCACTCAAGAGTAGAGGAGAAGCGCCGGTTTTCAGTGAAAGGGACACAGAATTGTGTCTGACCCATATCTCGTAGGTTTAATCACTCATGCGTTACCGATAACACGCGTAACGGAAAAAGAATCGTCGCAAAAGCACGCCCCCGGCGTAACCGAAAACGGGTCCCACCGCAATCCAAGTTAATGGAGTGTCTCATAATGACGGCTGCTGACATAAAAATAAATAGCCAGAGTCGGTTTCTGCGTAAGCCGATACTATGATAACAGCATCGCTCCCCCGATAATTGCCGAACTTGTTCCTCTATCGTGCAACTTCGGTGTCATTACTGGATAGCAATGTAATTGATCATACTCACACGAGTAAGCTGATTAAAAGATGGAGGCTTAGCTGTAAAGTCCAGTTCTCCCCGCGCGGGGTATGGGGTATACTTTTGTGTGTTTCTCTATTTGATTTTAAATACTGTCTGTTTACGCGAGTAGTACACATTTAAATATCTTAAACGGTTAAAAACGCGAAATATATAGTCACACTTGTTTACAAATTATTTTAACAACGGCGCGATATTTTGGATGCTTCGCAGCAGTCGTGGTTACAGGGAGACGTCAGTAGTTAAAATAATTTAAAGTTTAACTAATACATTTCGCGTTTTCAACCGTTGAAGTGTTGAAGTTTATTTAAATATTAGATTTTATCTACACAAGTTGATCAAAATTTGTGGTGGTCGATAAAAAGTATTTATAATATCTCAGAATTCTAACTGCACATCTAGGCACATCATCGCAAATCTAGGTGCACTTAACCAGGTTTGATGAAGAAGGGATTTATTGCGGCTTTCTTCGCAATTCCAGTCAAAATCTATGTTACACAGTTTTGAATATATGCGATGTAACCTAATGACTAATAAGATTAGCAAATAACGCATTAACAATTGACATATTAAAGTGGGGGCGTAGTTAAATTAAGAATAAGTTAGCCTATAAATTTCGTGTTTTAAACCGTAAGAACGTGTACTCCAATAATATATAGACAGTACCGAAACAATTTTTTTAAACTAAATATTACTCGTTTAATTAAAAGTAGGTACTTTACAAAAATAGTGCAGTAATACTTAGGAGTAGCTATAGCTTAGTAGTTAATTACGGTAATAAAAGACACAATAGGCTTAGCTGTAAAGATTTAGGTGGCTATATATTGCCGAGTTGACCAAACCGAGAGTATTACTTGACCATAAATCAGGGATGGGAAAACAATAAGCGTGAAATTGTGGAAACGATGTCTTGCCGTATTAAATCTTGGGGGAGTGAAATAAATAAAAATAAATCTGATGCAACCCTCGCGAGAACTTGATTTATTAGATAAGTCCTTTAAGAAAACGCAAGAAATACCCGGGATGGCTACTGTTAGGTGAAATTTATGATATTAATTATCGTTTACGTTTTGTGTATCATTTGTTAATTGATTTTATTTTTAAAATGGAATTAGACTATTGAGGTTGCTAGAGGCAGAGTGGCCTAATAACAAAAAATATGACTTTCATAGAGCTTAAACATGCGCAATTAACTTAGGCGAAAATTAATTTGTCCTATTTCTTGTTAAGAATTATGGTAAATGTCGGTAACGGTAAAATATGGTATCGGTCTCTTGTAGATTACTATCTTAGACTATAAAATAAAAAGAAGTCAAATTATAAAATTGCAGTTAGGCTACTCTGGCTTAGCAACTTTCTCGTTAGTGTAGTGGTAGCAATGTATGGCTAATAATCTACGGGACGTGGGTTCAATCCCCACCGACTCATTTTTTTAAATGAATTTATAATTGTTCTGAAACATGTTGGACTATGTCTGGAAATTTGGACACTAAATGGGTGGTAGGAATATCGAATTTTCGACCGGGTCACGAACCACCGTCCGCAGATTAAAAGCCACAACTTTCAATTGGGTTTCGGCTTCAGATCCGAATATCCAAAGCCAAAATAGAATGATAGGATCTTCTTAAGATGTTATATGCCTGTGGTGTTTCACGAACCAGTAAACTCTATGTTTGTTTGTCCTCCTCTATTATAAAAAAATGCGGTAATTGAAATTAATTTACACATAGAAAGGTATATGGGAAATTATTTCTCTTCTGCAGAACAAATCCGTAATGAAGTGATACAAAAATTCGGTTTGTGTTTATCGCTAGTTTAACCCTTCGCGCACCGAACGCTTATTATGCACGCTCTCGCTGATGGTAAACGGAATGTATGTCACTTTTTTATCGCTTTTAGTGGCTATACCCGGTAACTTGCATTCCGGACCAGCAACGTACAAGGTACACTGCGACCCAACCTGAAATATACCTTTAAATTTAAAAATTAATACTACTCTTGATACAATTTACTTAGCATTATAAAGTGCATCGTCTTAAACCGCAGTAACGTGCTACTATGTCCGCAGCTCCAGACCGGGTCGACCACCGAAACGAGCCTCCGGAGTTGGTCTCTCGCTTGCCGCATCGCCGTTCCCGGGGCATCCCTTCAAGAAACATCGCCTCGAGAACGGAGACTACTCGCCGTATGAAAACGGACATATGAGTGGTAAGTCGTTATTTTTTATGTCAATACGTATAATGGTTACAAAACTAATTAATTATGACAGTTCTACCGACCGATAAACAAAAAGGTGCTATTTTTATTGTGTTTTCTTTTGTGATGCAAGGGAACACTTAGAAGTGGCCATTTTGACACTTTTCTATATCTTATATATCCCTATTTAACCTAAAAACCTTAGACCGCGATAAATATAAATACATATTACTAATTGATTTACTTAATACAATGATACAGATCAACTATATATACTGTTAGATTAGTATTTAATTCTTGTTAACCCTATGTTTTGTTTTTATAAGCTACATTCCAATATAAATCTTTAAATCTCCCATATAATCTTTATAATACGATCATAACGAAAATGTAAATTCAAAGCTGTCGTATGATGAGATGTGATAACATAAATCGGGTTTCCGCACACCCGGGTAGGCGCCGGATATAACCGTAGGCTTCACAGATACCTTATTCCATATACAAATTACACAGATACAAAATTATCCCAACACAAACGGAGAAAAGGGAATAAAGTGATTAAATAGAGCTCAACGCAAGACGGCTGGCAATCAATCATTTTTGTCGCTTAGCCTTTGTTTATTATTTTGTTGATTGTCCCGCTCGCTCCCGTGTATTGTGGATGTGGTATCTCTTTCTGGCTTGAAGTGTCGTGCCAGACAAGGGAGCAATTACATTCGTGATCTTGCATAAGCGGCACTTGCTTATCACGCTCTGCCGCATTTGACTTTGAGTGTAGTACGGTTCGCTTTTTTCCCTAAAATTTGCAATTCGAAACACTCTCACGAGTGAAAAAATACAGCTTTGCTGTTTTGATTCCCTGTTCCATATGGTTTAAATTTACAATCTGAATTTTTTACATTCAAACTTTTATATTACATCTAAGGAAGTATTTCCTAATCATGTGTTAACACAGACGCGTAATAATCAGATGTAGGTTACATAGTATTGAAAATAATATACGTAAAACATACCGTTGTCATTAATTTATTTATAATTAAATTCGTGCTTCATTGAAATTCCTACTTTCTCCGGTGTACGGAGCTGACGTTAAGCCAATATTATTTTGACGAGTCGTTGACAGTGGTTTACAGTTGATGAACGCACACATGCCAAGAACATTCCCGTGTTACACGCGTAGACCTGGGAGTGTGTGAGCGGCCCATTTTCACCCCGTGAAATAATAGGATACGAAAACATCGGAGAATATAATCCTCGTAGGAAGGTTGAGCGGAATGGAAATAGGAATATGAAATGCGCGAAAGGGACGAATCGGCCCACGTGCGCGTTGAAAGGGTTGATGTTTATCTTTAGATGGTAAATCAAAATCGATGCTCATTCAGTTTTGATAAGATAGAGATTTATTACGTTTCAAGGAATCGTAAAATAAAGTTTTAATTCTTCGAGAAGCTAATAAACCAGTTTACTGTCATCATTAAGTTCTGTAACAAATGACAAACGTATTATAGAATTTGAGAATTTGTGTATGTGTGAAGGCATTTTACTAAACTCCTCTTAAAAGGCTCGCTGGCAATATAATGCTAATAAACAACGCGTCTGTGATTCGATACCCACCAGGTCTAAACGTTTATAATAAATGTATTTTTTTTAAAAAGGGGGTTGGGAGGGTTTTTTTGATATTCCTACCGGCTCACTAACTGTTATTTCCGAATATCCAAAGCCAAAATAGTTCGACAGCATATCGTGTTAGATGTTATATGGCTGTGGTATTTCATCTTCCATCAAGTGAATCTGCTTCCTCTTTCCAAAAAGGCGTTACATTTCCCAATTATTCAATTGTAATTGTAATTGTAATTGCAAGTTGTATATGTAATTATGCATGTGTTTTTTTTCCACCCATTTTTGAAAACAAATTAAGAAAGGGAAATCCTTTAAAAAAAAAACCTTTTTGGTTTAAAAAACCCTTAAATGCCGCCCCCCCCCCCCCCCCCGGGGGGGAAAAAAAAAATTTTTTTTTTAAAAAAATTTAAAAAATTTTTCCTTTTTTTACATTTTATGTTTTTTTTTTTTAATTTTTACCCCCCCCCAAAAAAAAAAAAAAATTTTTGGGGTTTCCCCCCCCCCCCCCGGGGGGCGGGCCCCGGGGGGGGGTCCCATTTTTTTTTTTTTTTTTTTTTTTTTTTTTTAAAAAGAAAAGGGGGGGAAAAAAAAGGCCCCCCCCCCAAGGGAAAAAAATTTTTTTTTTTTGGGGGCCCCCACCCCCCCGCTTAACGCAATGCTAATCAATACGTTTAGCCATTTGGCCACAGAGGCCCTCGAATACCAGTTAGTCCTGTCAAAATCGACTAGTATTTGAAATGAGTGTTTTGATAGACACGTTTTGATGTCTCGCATTGACGAACGACCCTTTTCGTGAGCGGTATGAAAATGACGTGTTGATAATAATTAAAGGTTTACGATGTCGTCACACAACGGGGGATAATGTACGTATTATAACATTACGCGGGGGTACAAAGCTCTACGTTGTGATTGAATTCTGCGACTGAAATTAAGTAAGGATTTGCCTGTTTGTGTTTGAGGCGGGGTCGCGATGGATCCGTCAATTTGCTTCTCTTCACGCCATTGTTCTTGTAACGTTGGCTTATTTGAATGTTTAATGTACTATTTTGTGTTAGAAATTCTTGGTGTACATTTCATATGAACTTCAAGATTAAGAAAACAAAGTTATTAAATGGAAATAAATGATTTTTTTCACAGACATGTTTGGAATCATATTATGATTAAAGAGATATATAATTGTAATTGGGTTGTGGACTCGAAAGGGTTTTGTCTCAAATATACTTTTTCTAAGCCGATTCGGCTATAGACAATGCCAAAATAGGTCGACGACCCATCTTGTTTACGACTGGGATGTTTTACCTTCCATGAAGTGAATCCCCTGCTTGAACATCTTTCTCTATCATAAAACAATGCCTTTTTAGACAACGAAGTATATAAGCATATTTAACTTATTTAATACTTGTCACATACACTACTTTACGAAGTCTTCTTCGCCATTGCTAGTTCCCAGCTATGGGAACTTAGATCTGTTGTTCTTGAAACCTATACGTTTAATTGTTTTTAAAATGAAGAATCTATAATAAAAGGAAATCAGCGTTCGTGAGACAAGTCAATAAATCTAAATAGTTTTTCCTTCTGAACATTCGTGATTGAAATAATACATATTTAAGCAATCAGTAGACGGACAATGATTTAAACATCAACCAGCAATTGCTGGTAATCAAACAAATTACTAAATGCCATATGAGGAAACGGTACCAATGAGCGTGGTGGCAACAATAATTAAACGCCCAACTGATATGGAACCAATAGCGTAAGAGTCGGTGGATCTTGGGGTTTTATTCCTACTCCTACCACTACTTTTTTAAATTAGGTATTCCTTCAGCTAAACAATACTTACATGGCTTTAAAGTGCTTAAAACTAAACATAATAAAGAATTACGCTATTAAGAAAAAAAAATATGATACAAACAGAAATAAAACGACAAAAGGGCAAATAATTAATTGGGGTATGCCATTTTGAGCTTATTATATTAAGATGTTACCAATGTAACTTATTTAATATAATACATATTGTATAGTGTAAAACTACTTATTTATAATGATTATTTAAAATAATACAATATCAGTACCCAATATTTTGATCTTTGACCTATTAACAATACATTATATATTAAAAATTAAAAAAAAAATTATATGATAAACCGTGAAACCTATCAAAAATTAACGAAATTGATTTTGTTATTTAGTAGTAGACATTTAAAATACTGTGTAGGTATATTAAAAAAAAATTCGTCTATTAAAAAGGGAAAACAATTTTCAAACATTGTTTATACTGTTTTTATAATGCACCATTTGCGTGTATTTTATAGTCAGCATTGCCTTGTTTGACTTTAAATGGTGCTGGGTTCGAGCCCTGTAACTTTAAATAAATTTGGTCAGCGAAAGTCTCGCACAAGTTGCCATATTTTACAAAGTTAAGTTTGCTTATGCCCCACGTTGGGGGCAAGTCTCGTATAATATAAGAATTTAATGGATTATTATAATATTACTATAAATACAGTAGTCTCTTAAACTATGTCAAGTAAAGATTTACATGCACAAAGATACGAGTATGAATGCAACATTGTAGTAATGTTGACTGGCATTAAAAGATAATCAACTGTTCGAATAACTGTTGAATCTCTCTGACTAAGTTAACCTTAAGCGATGGTAAAAACAATTGAGTGGATATAACTTTATAATTTTAACCATACAATTAGATTAGTGGACAATGTAGCATATAATACGAATCTTATATGTATTCTCTATCTCTAATTACACACCCTAATAATTATTATTTCTAAAAGTATTATAACACTTTTCCTTAATGTCCAAAGCTAAAATAGGCCGACAGCGCATCATATCATTTCAGGGCTAGAGCATATCATCTTCTTGTGTTTCTGACTTATAAAAATACGTTGAAACCGTTAGTAATTATACTAAGTGTCTGAAATGATAATAAAACAACTATTTGATTACACAAATGCCCTGCGTTGTTTCTCGTTATAAGAATAAAATTGTTTTGCATTAACATTACTCACACCTTGGTAACATTCATTTTGTTTTTGCCTTGCTCAAGCATAAGGCAAGAATTTCTTTTAATTAGCAATACCGGCGTATTTGAATGCCAGCACGAGATTTTCGGTACCTCAGTCGTTAAGTATTGTCCGCAGTGAAGCGTTAATAGTGGTATAAATATATACATTTTATTAAACTTTTAACGGTTTTAAACGCGAATTTTATAAGTAACTTAATATTTCAGGTAATTTACTTCGTTTAGATGCAATTAAAGTACATTTTTCTTTCCAAACCTCTTTTTTGCGTCTAAAAAGTATAATTTACGACTGGTTAAAATAGGACGACAGATAGAAAAGCCATTAAGTTACCTCGCGTTTTGGTTTATGTCTGTG